TTGAACTCTTACACGACAATGCGGACAAAGCTTTTTACGTCGTAATGTCCGACGTTGTTGTTCCTCTATCCTTTGCTCTTCTGTCAGATACGGAGCGAACGGTGGCTCATCTGGCAATGCCTCTTTGAACCACAACACAAGACAACGAGCACAAAATACGTGACCACAGGGGGAAAGCACATGTGGTCTGTATGCGAGTTCCAAACAAACCGTACAAGCGCATTGTGAATGAAGCTGTGAGATTGTGTCACTTTGAGCGGAAAGCTTTGCCTCTTGTAACTCCATTTTGGCTTGTAAAGCCGCCCGCTCTGCAATGAACACTTCCTCTGAGACGGTTCGTTTCCTAGTAATAGAGCTCGGATTACCATTTCTGTATGCCTCTCTCATTGAAATTTTGTCACTTTCCATCTGCTCTTTAATACGTTCAACACGTTCACGATCCGACACGGGTGATTGCTTACTCTGACTACGACGAGATAAAAAGATGGCTCCAATATTGTCCTCTGTTGCTGGTGTGCTCCCATTCATCGTCTTTGACGGTATACTTTGAGCAATTTCTGCAATTCCACTATCATCGATTGTGCTGTTCTGACGTAATGGTGTAGCAGGGGAAGTGTCATCCTCCTCCTCTGCAACAGATTCAATCGTCACAGCATTCATATCCGGATCAGGATTTGTTTCTTGCAGTATCTCTTGCCCTTTCTCAGCGACTTTCTTCATCAAGACAATAATGCGTTCTTCCATTAGCTCTTTTGACCATTTGTGAAGTTGAGCGTGCTCGATAATTTCGTTCTCCTCTAAGAATTCTATCACGATGTCAAAATAGTCATTGAGAGTGTATGCCTCGCCTTTCCCATTTTCCCGTTCTTCACGAAGATTGTTGGCATGAGCCACGGTCTTGGCATGGATAAAATAAACCAATCGTCTAAGATCTGCGTCTGAGACTTTTGTGAGATCTGGTATCCCAGAGTTGACATTCTGCTTTCTTTGCCTTTCCCGATCATCCTGAAGTTGAGATTCATCCAAATCTGTGATAGTGCAGGTATCCATATCGAAGTCAGCTTCCAACAAACCATGTTGCACATAATCGTGATATGCTCGGAGGACTTCAGCTGCACGAGCAGCTGCATCATAGTTTTTGCTGGCAACTTCAACCATTTCAGGGTTTGAGTCAAACATGTCCATTCGCTGTTGCATCATGTTTGCTAAAAATCTTTGCCTTTCCCAATCATCCTGAAGATGGCTTGAACGGCGAGCATGTCGGTTGCTGGAACCGGGAAATGCGCCAGTCACAACAGGTGTGCTTGCAATGATGGGTGCAGAAGGATGAGGTGTAGCAGGATTGGCTGGAGAATGAGCAGTATCCATGATAGAATGTCTTCGGAGGACTTCAGCTGCACGAGCAGCTGCATCATAGTTTTTGCTGGTAACTTCGACCATTTCAGGGTTTGAGTCAAGCATGTCCATTCGCTGTTGCATCATGGTAGCTAAAAATATCGTCGCAGCGTCTTCGCTCATCATCACGCTGCTTGACTCTTGCCGTTGGCCGATGGAAGTGCAAAGTTAAGCTCATCGGGTGGCAATTGATCAAGCCTTTCTAGCCAATCAGATCTGACCGTACCTTTTGCCGATTGAATTTCATTAATACATAGAACAACAAGGTAATACAAAGGATCTAATGAGTTGGTACAGTGATGTGTTGTGTCGTCGACGGCTGAATGGAATAGATCCACACTTGCCGCCAAGCACATTCCGACTAGGATAGTCCATTGGTGTGGCCTTGTATTGAGGTATGACGCACCCAATGAGGTTGAGGTATAATTGTATTGTCCAATCTGATAATTTTATCTATGAAACAAGTCCATCTCGAGATAGCTCAGCTGGCGAATAATTTGTCTCTTTGACAGCTGAATGGAATATGTCTACACTTGCCGAGCGCGCTTACGGTTTGTTTGGAACTCGCATACGGACCACATGTGCTTTCCCCCTGTGGTCACGTATTTTGTGCTCGTTGTCTTGTGTTGTGGTTCAAAAAGACATTGCCAGATAAGCCACCATTTGCTCCGTATCTGACAGAAGAGCAAAGGACAGAGGAACAACAACGTCGGACATTACGACGTAAAAAGCTTTGTCCGCATTGTCGTGTAAGAGAAGAAATTGAAATTCTCACCTGAATCAATGTTAGAAAGCAGCACAAAGGAAATGCTCCCTACTAAACGTACAGTAGCAAAAGTACCTGGAAAGAAAAGATTTTTAATCTTTCTTCCTGATACGGGATTGTGCTTGCGATTCACTGGTTCCGACAACGGAAAGAAGTCAGCTTTTTCTGGAGACTATGCTGTTGGCTCTACTATTCGACTTTCAGCAAGACCTTGGAGATTTGTCGACAATATTGTGACAAGAAGTAACGGCCATGCAAACGATGGAACACACCAGTCAAAGAACAAAAGCCCATTTCACAAACAATCCTCCAAAGTTCGTATGAGCAAGATCGGAAAGACTCGAGACTATTTGGGTAAAGAGCTGAAAGCATAATTGGAGAAGATCTCGAATATATGCGAGTCATGACATGAAAAGAAGAACTTCACAGTCAAAAGCCGCTTTCAGGCATACACAATATCGCAAAGCATGAATACTCAAACATCCAAATGAAGATTAGATTGCCACCTGGCATCGTGATGGTTCAACTGGATTGAACAGAACATCACAATTATCGAAAAAGTATACATTGTATATAGTATAGAGTTAATGTCATTGTGTCATATACCTGTCAACGATGAATGCGTGCGTGCGTGATCGATGAGGTGGAAATTTGGGCGGCGCTGGCTTGTGGTGCGCTGCGCGTTTTGCGGTTTAAGGCACTTTAACCCTGCCTAATGCACGCACGGCAGCAACACGCCAGAGAGAGAAAGAGAGGAGTGAAGCATTAAGGCACCCAGTCCATGTGCTTGTATGTGTTGTCTGCTTGCATGCCTTTGGGAAAAGCGTGGCGTTGATTAGTGTTTGTGTGTGTGTGTGTTTCTTCCGTCTGCCTCTTTTTTAACTAAACACATCTGTGCATTTGCGCGAGCGCATCATCCCAAGTAAACTTTAACTTAAATTTCCCCTTCTTCATCGCGATCATCCATTGCAAGAAAAAGAAGGATAGATAAAAAGAGTCGATCTCTTTTTGTTTTGTTTCTCGTTGTTGGAATTCCTTCAACGTATTCGTCCTCCTTTTTTTACATCCGCATCGCTGCCGTTCAACATACGCCTCTTCCTTACGCCTTTCAATCAAATTTCTCAACATTCACGCTCCGCTGGGCGCAGCTCATCTCTCCATTAATTACTATAAAACGCTTTCTCATCGGAACCCATTTGTTGTCGTCATTCTTGGTGCCAAAGTATTGATCCTTAATCTAGGACTTACTATTTAAACGCAACTCTCAAGTAGAACTACTCGTATTCATTCCCTCTCCTACTCACCTTCACCTTTTGCGCAGGCACGTACCTCTCAAAATTCAATACCATGTCTGATTTCTCCTCTTTACGACCTCCTGCTTCGCCATCTGCTCGTGCTTCTTCTCCGGTAGGTAGCATGAACACTTCTCGTTATTCTCTTGGCAAGCAATCATCTGGACCTGGCGGTGCCGGTGGTCCTGTCAAAAGTCCAAGTATGGGCAATACAGCCATGCCTGGTACACCTCATGGTGCTCCCGGTCGTGCAGGCTTACGTCCAAGCTCGGAACTGGTTGGAATGCAACATCAAGGAACTCCCGAATCCGATGCGATCGATAGGTGGTTCGAAGATTTACGCCATTACGAAGCCACTTTGGAAGAAATGGCTGCTGCTTCTCTCGATCAAAACTTCAAGGAAGAATTGAGCGCGATCGAACAATGGTTTAGAGTCTTGTCAGAAGCTGAACGTACAGCTGCTCTGTACAGTCTCTTGCAAGAATCAACTCAAGTTCAAATTCGCTTCTTCATTACCGTCTTGCAACAAATGGCCCGCAGTGATCCAATGAGCGCTCTACTTTCCCCAAGCCACCCCTCCAGCGCTATGGCCGAGCAAATGGAAGCAAAGATGGCATCTTTGGGACTCAAATCTCCTCAAGCCGCAATCAGCAAGCCCAATTCTGCTTCCGCTTATCGTCAATCGACTGATGCTTCTGGCTTCCTTTCTCCTAATGCAGCTGCCTTGTACGGTGCTGGCAACAATGTGAATCAAGATGCAGCTGCTCTCTTGGCTGCTCAACGTGCAAAGTTCAAAGCCAATCGCATCTCTGCACCGGGTACTCTTGCCAGTGATCATGCTGCCCGCAACTTCTCCGGAGGTAATTTGGATCAAGTCCAAGAGAACCGCAATACTGAATCTATCGGCTCGGGCAGCAATATGCGTCCCAAGTCCACCGATGGACTCTCTTCAGCTGCAGCCAAGAGTCCTCGTCCTAGTGGACCTTTGGACGACACATTGAGCCCGATTAGTAACACTGGCAACTGGGCAAGCATGGTCAACACACCTGTGATGCCCATGTTTGGTGATGACAATGCAAATGGTCTAGGTAATAACCTCGAAGCAGCTGCAGCACAACTGGCAAGCGTAACTGATGCACAAAACAGAAATGTTTTGCTCGAACAAGATGTTAGCAAATATCGCAGAAGAGGTCAAGTGGGACCACAATCGTCTCAAGGTCACAGCAGTCCTATGGCTTCACCTAACCTTAACGCACATTCGCCCAATCTATGGCACTCTTCGCAAAACGACTTTTTACGTCAAGCTATGGCCACTTCGCCATTGCCAAACAGTGCAAGTTCCAACAATTTCAACTTGACAATGAGTCCAAACGCATTGGCAGGATTACAATCGCCAAGTGGAGGATTGAGCAATCCTGTGAATATGCAAATGATGAACGCAATGGCAGCTATGGGTGGATTGAGTAATATGAGTGCAGCTCAATTCTTGCAAATGCAACAACAAATTCTTCAAAATCAACAACAAATCGCCGCCATGGCAGCAGGCAATTATCAACAACAAGCTTCGATGCGCAACAATGCCGTTGGAAGTAATCGTGCGCCTGGATCTGCTTTCCAAGGCTTGACGCCAAACAGTTCCGGCTTACCATCTTCCGCTGGCCGTAGAAGTCCAGGAAGTGCACGTACGCCTTTGCCTAGAACGGCAGGCGGACCTGGTAGCACTGTTGGCGGACAAGCAAGTGGCGTTCCGGGTGGAGCTGGACAACAACAAGAAGAAGATGTTACGGATTTGAAATTGTTACAAGATATTCCTGCTTGGTTACGTGTTTTACGATTGCACAAATATACACCCAATTTCGAAAAGATGGATTGGAAGGATGTTGTGGTGATGACGGATAAAGATTTAGAAGATAAAGGAGTGGCTGCATTGGGAGCAAGAAGAAAGATGTTGAAAACCTTTGAATCCGTTCGTGAAAAGCATGGAATCGCTCATCCGCCTGGAAGTGCGATCCCGGAAGCATCTTCAGCAGCTGAAGCAGCAGCAGAAGAAGCCGTCAAATCAGAAGAAAAGTAAGGGTATGCTCTCTCTTTATGTTTGCCACCAGTCATCTTCCCCTCTTTTGTTCTGGTTCTTTTGTAGAAATGCCAAGAAAACAACAGTATTATTTATCCCTTTTTTACAGCTTTCCGTCCAACTCAAACAATGTACAACCACCTTACGTAATCTTCTTTCCTTCAATTCTTAGCCATGCCTTTTACTCATTATGCGAGGAAGAAGTCAGCTACCTATATTCTTTTTGGTCACCCTATCTTCTTCTGTTGATTTCCTTGTAGTCCAATTATGAAACGAATTTTACCTGCAATTGTGAAAGGTGTGCGAGATAGAATTCAAGCGGACTCTACTTCAGGAACAGAAGAACCTTGAACACGTTCCTGCTTTTAATTATGTTTGCAGATTCAAAATGATCACATGGCAACGGTGTCTTTGATGATTAAAAGTATGTATCCGTTGGTGTTTCAAGAAGATTACGCCCATACGTATGTACGCTTTATATGCAGTCTGGCGTAAAAGGCGTTCAAACAAAAAGAGACCGTGTGCGCCGAACGGTGTGAGCAAAAGCGCAAGTAAGTGCCAAGTGCCTTTGGATGGACAAAGTTGGCGTTGGGCAGCAGCGTACGGTAAGGTAAAACCAAACAAACCATAGCAAAAGAACGCCCACCCGCCGATTTGGCTATTTAGCTTGATGCCCGTTCGCCGAGAAGTGCGGGCGCGTGTGGCCACAAAAAAAGACGCGTTGAGTGATATTTTGGCTTTTTTTATTCTGTGCATCATGGATCGACCTAGCACGTCGGATTGTTTAATTAAAAGTACGGGTGTGAAGGAGTGTGAATGTGCGGTAAAGCAAGCTGCATGCCTTTGATATGAATGGAAGATGTTTGTTGCATTTTGTTGAAGGAGGGGGAAAGGACGGGCGTTTGAGCACTGTTTCTTAAGCACAAAAAACCGCTAGCCCACTCTTTACGCCTCATACCAAAAGATCAACACTTTTCTGGTAAAAAACACTTGCTTCCATACATATCACTTCGTTCAATTGGGACACGGCTACTTACCCTGGATTGGATTGACGCCCTTTCTCTCTGAAAAATGCAATCATTGAAATACTTGGCAGGCGGGATGCGAAAGAAGATTGGAGAAAGATCTTCTGCCAAGTCAGCACGGCGGGCTTGCGTTGAAGAGATGACGGGATAGATGCGCTTTTTAATCATGGTTGATGCCAACATCTACGAATTGAAATGCAACAGAAGAGTATATGCACAAACGGCCCTTGAACAGGTACCAAAACATTGAGATAGATCGTAAACTCTAAACAAGAATAGCACATAAGCAGCACAATCACAATTACGTAGTCAATGTTATTTTAAGATTGTATTGGAATTGGGCGTTCCCATTCTCAAAAGCTTGTTCAGTCTATCTCCTTCTTTCATATGCATACGTCAACACTCTTCTTGTTGTTGTTGTTTATCAAATCGGCGCGATCAAAAAGGCAAATCAATTATTGACGCCGATTCTAGTCACCTTTTTTCATTTTGTTCAGAAATCAATCTTAACGCCTTACCTTCAAAAGGCATCCTCCTCTTCAAAACCTTTCCTTTCGGGCTGGAATCAAAAAGAAAAAAGGCGGTACAATAGTTGCCCATTCGGAAGGAGAAAACGTGTACAGCATTTACCCTCTCTACATGCACCACCCACTTTCCCTTGGCTGCTTCTATACCTGAATTGTGCGTACTCACATCTTTTTACGCAATCTTGACATTCATAAACTGGTTGTTTCGTCTCAACAAGCTCTTGAATTCGAACGCCGAAGTATCAAAATCGTACAAAAGAAGCAAAGATTGAAAAACAGCATACAATCAATCTATCCTTCCGACCTTGATCATCTTTGCATCGATCTTCGCAAGAGGTATCATTCCGGATCTTCATACTTGCACTTCTTCATCGTCTTTTTGACAACATGTCTTCCACAAATCGTCAACGTAATACTCCTGGCCCGATCGCCATGCCACTGGGCGAGCATGGTACAAATATCTTGGGCAGAGCATACAACGGTCCATCATCTGAAGAAGCGTTCGCAAAAGTTTCTTGTGACCGTCCGATCAAGCAAACACTCAATCTAGCCGGAAGTACTACACCGGTCTCAGCCGATAGTCAAAACAGCACCGATGGCGAAAGTGCATGTGAGACATTGAGTGATGTTTGCCTTTCTTCTTCTGCTTCATCTTCAAAGAGTACAGGCTTCTCTGAAATTCCAACAACGGCTGATACACAACAACGTTCAAGAGCCATGACAAATCCGGGCTCTGTTAGTGTGGCGTCAAACGAGAGTGGAAGTACGCCACAAGCATCACCATCAAAGCACCGTAGTAAAGTGCCTTCTTTGGACGTGATTGCTGCTAGACTCAAACGTGCCGATCTTTCAGTCAGTCCAACCTTTGCTGATCAGGAGAATGGTGGTCATGCAACAGCTCAACAACAAACAACGCCCGTCAAACGTTTACCGTTCAAAGCTTCTGCTAACTCTACACCGATTGCAGAACGTCGCCCGATTCCACAACGTGGTCGCTCAGACGTATTGGCATCTTTGGTTGATCGTGCTTCAAATCGCTCTCGCTCTGCATCTCCAACAAAACCTCAGTTCGAGGAAAAGTCGGTAGAAACAACGGTAGGAACAGGTGCAAAGCCCAGTCAATCTCCCGAAAAGAGTAGAAGAAGCTCCGTGACAAGCGCATTGAAGGAGGTGCCGAGCTTGCAAGACATCATTAAGCGCATGGGAATGAAAAAGGAAGGAAGTACTTCCACTCATTCTAGCCCACAAATGGAAACGGTCAAATCTCCTCCTCGCACACCTGTGACCAAGAACGCAATGACACAAACAGACAGCAAAGAAGAGATTGAAGCAGCACTAAAGAAGAGCGAACGTGCTGAGCGCATGAAGAGTGATGAGCATCCTTTGGAGCACAAATGGACGTTGTACTTTGACTCAAAGACATGGAACCCGTCTACAAGTCAAGGTTCAAGCGAGCCACCAAAGTCACCTGCTTTGTCGGCTTCAAGCAGTAGTGCAACTTCTTGGGAAGCAACGTTGAAGATGCTTGGTCAATATGATACCGTGGAAAAGTTTATGACCACTTTCCGAACATTGCGTAGACCTTCGCAATTGGAACGTAATAGCAATTATCATTTGTTCAAGAATAACATCAAGCCAATGTGGGAAGATCCGGCAAACACAAAAGGTGGCAAATGGACGATCACCTTGCGTGGAGCAAACCAAGCTTTGCTAGACCGTAGCTGGATGTGGCTTGTGCTGGCATTGATTGGTGAAGATATCGATGAAGCGGATGACATTTGCGGTGCCGTTGTTTCAACGCGTACGAAAGGAGATCGTATCGCATTGTGGATCCGTGATAAGTCAAATGTTGATTTGGTCAACAAGATTGGTCGTAAATTTGTTTCGGTTTTGGATCTAGAAAAAGAATCTGGAGTCAGCTTGGAATTCAGTGCGAATATGCAGGATGAGAAGCCTTTCCCTGCAAAGTCTAACGGCAAGTACATTGGATTCTCCAACCCAATGCAACCTGCCTCTCAATCTGTTCAACAACAACATATGCTCAATGCTACGCATCCAGGTTCACCGATTCAAACACAAGGAACTCTTGGTGCTCATTTGCGTCTCCATGGCTCACCAAGTAAGAGCAATTTGAACTCATCAACATCCTTCAATCGTCGTCGTGATGGAAGTTTCTCGTCTAATCGTCAACAAGATCCCGATTCCAGCGTAGGAAGTGTGAACAATTTCACGATGGGCTTAGGCGGTCCAATCGGTCGTACAAGTAGTCCAAGTCCGGCTGCACCTAACTCGCTTCGAAGCTCTACGTCCAACAATGGTATTTTCAATCGCAACTCGACCAAGACCGCTGCAAATTAGTTTTATCTTCAGGTCACTTACTCTCATCAGAGGTGCATACAGAAGTGGTGCACCAGCATATCATGACCACATCTATTCAGTTATTCACATATCATCATTGTACATTTAGAGTTCTTTCATACACACATACACAAACATACAAACTGCCCATGACTTACTTCCTCTATGCACTCATTCATACATTCATTTCATTCGCTTTTTTTTGCTTTCATCTCTTCTCGTCTATGCCCATTGTACATATATACTCTGTCGATCTGTCCATAATTGTTGATATGATCACAACAAATTCAGTTCTGTTTGATTATCAAAAGCAAAAAGTAAACTTGTTGCTCGTAAAGGTATATTGAATATGTGTCTGATATGCTATTAATAGTACATTGCATTCCAGTCTTAAGCCCATGCATTTTCCTCTTGAGGTAGGTTGATGGATGTAGTTGGCTTGGATTGATTTGACGTCGACGCTTCTTGTTCAGACACCTCTCCCGCATCCTCATCCGATTCAACTTCCTCATTGTCCTCTTCTTCTTCTTCACTCTCGTATTCGTCTTCACTTTCTTCTTCTTCATCCTCTCCCTCCTCCAATTCTTCTGTCTTGTCGACCTCCTCCTCCTCTTCACTGTCTGCATCCAAAAATGCGTCCAAATCTTTATACTTGGTCTTTGCATTGTTTGCCTGTTGTAAAAGTGCAGCATTGGGAGTCGAACGACCGGAAGATTGGGTCGTATCAACAACGTGTTTATGAAGATCGCCCGAAATGGACGCTTGTACCTTTTCCTTTGATTCGATCACAGGTTGATCGTTTGGTTCTCTCACCGTACTGGGCGGAAGTGTACTTTTATCGGCCCACGGTTCAATGAAAAAGTCGGGCAATTGGTAAGGAATCGTTGCTGATTGATGTGGTCCGATCGCAGAGCTTAACGTGTTCCATGTCTTGTTTTGCTCTTGTTGATCATGATCAAAGCCTTGAACGTCCTTTCTTCTCATTCCATTGAACAGGATGTGGATCACTTGGTTACGTCGCAACACCACACCTCCCAGCTGATCATCTATCTGATCGTCGTTAGTGATTTGCGGGTCTTCTGCTTCTTTTGATGTGCTCGCTTTTTCGTTCTTTTCACTTTCAGCCTTGATTCCCACCTCTAAACGATCAGTAAGCGCCTTGCAAAATCTAGCACGATCTCGAACGTCAAAATGTTCATCATATCGTGCAAGTTGAAGAATGTGTCCGTGCAAAATATTCAAAGCCTTGATGTGAGCAGGATTTGCATCTTTGACTGTAGGAAAGAAAGTGACCAGTTTTGTCGAAAGTGTAACAATTTGATATTTTGCTGTTTCACCTTCTTTCGAAAAATTAATTGCAGCTCTGCGTAGTACGTCAAGCGCTATTGCATATGCGATCGTCCACTTCTCAGTCTTGTCATCAGCCGATTGCACGTTGATCTTCGCTTGACAATACTGCCCCAAAAGCCAGTAAATTGTCGCTCGAGCTGCAGGAGCATTGATTGCACCCTTCCCTACCAGCTTCAACCTTTTCTTCTTCCCGCTTTCATCTTCTTTTGTTGCTGCAGTACTTGCTGTGAACAGCATCGGTGCCAGACGATGTATGATCGGACCAGCAAACTTTTCGGGAGATTTTTCCACTAATCTTCGAATAACATTTAGGGCTTCTGCCACAACTTCACCTTTTGATCGTTTGTCCTTGATAATTTGCAATAAAAGCTTTAAGCATTTCGCCCTTTGATCATCATCGCTTTCACTTGCCCATCTTCCCAGCTGTGTTACTGCAGCTGTTGCAATTTCTTCTGACGAATTGTTCATTGCTTCTTCAACCAATTCAGTCACCACCAATTCTTCTGAGGCTTTGTCCTTTGCTATATCGACTAGAATTTCCAACTTGATCACTGTCACATAGTCAGATTCCTTCAGAGAAGACCTTGGTAAGAAGCGATGTGCCATCGAAGCAAAGAGCTCAGGCGAGTGTTTGGCAACATATTGACAGTTCAAAAGAGCGAAAAAGGAGATATCCGATGATTCATCAATCAGTCGGGTCATCGGCCGAGCAATGACGCCACGTTTCTCTATAGGAGCCAGTGTATATATCAAACGTGCTGCACTTGTGACTACCGCTGCATTCGGATTGAAGAGCAGATCCTCTGCTTTGATGAGAAGGAGATCCAGATCGTGATCTATTTTAGCATCCTTCTCTGGTTCTGGTAGACATCTTTTGGCATAATGTCCTAGCACGTCCAAAGTAAGCTTCTGTCCCCATGCATCCATATCTCCCATCGCAAAGCATAGCTTACGAAAGTGTGCATGTAATGCTTGCAAATCGTTGGGAGAAAGTGCTGACCATGCCGCCAAGGCTGCTGCCAATACAGCCGGGTTTCGATCGTTCAGCAATGTTGCAAGGTGTTGCTTGAATGATTCTCTGGAATCTGGTGAGATATCGACACACTTTATGAGAGAATGTGCTGCCGCCTTTCTCACGTAGAAGCTGGAATCTCGAACGCATTTGCTGATGGCCACTTCAACAACGCTTGCCGCAACTTTCAAACGTAATCCTGTCAGAACACGCAATGCCATTGCTCGAACGACTTCATTTCGATCCTGTAAATCACGTTGGAAAGAGTTGATTCCAAGAAGTGCAATATCAGGTTGCTTTCTTGCGTATCTTCTTACAATTATGTAGACCAATTTCCGAATTTCCAGATTTGCATTACTAGATAATTTTACCACACTTGCAAAATACCCGCTTGCATCCCTTCCTTTTGAGATTAAGGTGATGACAGTCTTTAAGCCATCGATACGTACTTCATCCCTATCTGACTCCAGTTGAGCTCGGATAACATCATCTGATGTATCGACATATTTGCCTGCATTCGATCCTCCCAATAATCCTTTCACTGCTTCGGTTGCATCTTCTACACGTTCAGAGAAATATAGCAAAGCTCTTGAGGATGTAGATTGTGCTGCCATGACGAGACTAGCCAGACACAAGAGCAAATCCTTGAGCCTTCTTGCTAAGCTATCGGTTCGTTAGCAAGCAAAAAGGATGGAGTGAATGCAGGAAGACAAGAAGAGTGGTTCGGGTCCGTGCTGTTAAAGAATTGTGTAACTCACGTGTGCGTTTCTCACCAGGCGCGTAAAGATGGAGAGATTGCATCTTCTCGCGCTAATTAGAACGATCCCCATCCACCATCACCATCGCATATACGCATCAACTCCATCACTCAGAACTTCATCACTTCTGACGTGAATATCGGAGATGGTTTCAACGCCAGCAAGAAAGGATGATGCTGGTGGAAATGCAAAGGGCTCAACAACGGAGGGAGGCGGCCTAAATGCATCCAATGCAGCGTCTGCTGCCGATGCGAGCTCTAAGATGCCGCAAACATCATCATCTATACCACCCGATCCTTCTGGTTCGGCATCACAGCAATCATTAAGCGGTACTTCAAATACGCCAGGTGGACTCAATACGCCCAACACCCTTCTGAGCGATTCAATGACGCCTGCACAAACGTCTGCTGTACTTTCTTACTTCAAAAAGAGAGGTTTCAAAAAGGGAGAAGATACATTAAGAGCAGAAATTGAAGCATTGACAAATGGTCAAAATCCTCAACAAGCACGAACAAATATTGGCATGCGATTTGGCAGTCCATCCGTAAGTCTGTTCGATCTAGCGGTAAAGAGTGCACCTCGTGAACCCAATGCAACAGGCACTGCTAATGGAACGTCCAATGGATCGAGTAACTCGCCTTTGGGACAATTGGAACAAGCTGCTGTGCAGGCACTGATGCTTGATCCAACTGACAGATCTAGAGGCTTCAGCAAGCTAAGAAATTGGTGTGAAGGTAGTCTGGAGATCTATCAGCCTGAACTACAGCCTCTCCTATTGCCATTATTCGTCCATAGCTATTTGGATTTGATCGATTTAGGATTTGGGGCTGCAGCATCCGCGTTCTATACGGCCAATTCTTGGACATTTTTACCACAACATGCTGCTTTGCTTGCCGATTTGCGATTCATTTCGCTCCCGTCTCATGTGGCAGAGGACCCTATCGCTCAAAGATTCAGAAGTGAAAGGTTTGTGATCAAAATGACGTCAACCGTGTTCTCATTGCTATTAGGATGGCTCACCGATGGGAGTGGGCCTGCAGGCGGCGCAGGAGCTGGTGAAGGAGTAGGAGATGATGGTGCTGGCGAGCACGACCGAAGGGCTCGAGAAGCAATGTTGAAGATCATCAATGAAAGAATGCGCGTTCAAGTTATTGATGTGAAGTCACAACAGCTAAGCATAACAGCTCTCGAAGAAAGCACTGGACTGACAGGAGCAGGTCCAGCATATTCTGCTACAGGATTCAAATCTCGCAAATATCCTGCATTATTCTCGGCAGTCGTTTCGGATCGGGATGCAGTATTGGACTACAATCAAAATGCAGCAGGCCCTCAACTTAAGCTGGGAGCTGATATTCCACTATCGGAGAAATTACAGACAGAGGTAGAGCGAGAAGTGGAAAGAGAGGTAAATGCAGAGAATAACAAGCAAGGCAACGAACAGAATAAGGCCATCACACCAAATGCTGGATCTGTCGCGCCCAATCAAAAAGGTCTTCTGCAACCAACCTATACTGACTTACCACCACAAGCACCTGTGTATCGGATAATAGACATAGAACGGGAAGTGGCAAAAGTGCGTGATGCAAGGAAGGCTTTACGATTCAATCTTTCCCTAAATGCAACAACGGGAGAAACCTCAATCGCCAACCTATCGGGCCCTTCATTCATGTCAAACGTTCGCGATGCGAGCTTCAATGCAATGGGTGAAGAAGGTGCCAAAGCAGCCAGGACAGCAGCCCTGCCTAGCATATGCTCTTATACCTATCACGATGCTGATGATGGTCTTACCTGCTCAAAATTCTCACCCGATCTCAGCTTGATGGCAGCTGGATTTGAAGAGAGCTATGTACAAGTATGGAGCTTGAAGGGGGAGCCTTTACGCGGTCTTCGTAACGATTTCACACTTTCACAGGTACGTGACCGCAAAGCGTTGGACCGTCACCGTGAACGAACTACTCAATCGACGAGGAAGCTGATCGGTCATAGCGGGCCAGTGTATGGAGTTTCGTTTGACCCTATTGGAGGAAGTGCTACACCGCCTCGTCATTTGCTTAGTGCAAGTGCTGATTCTACCGTTCGCCTATGGAGTTTAGACACATTCACAGCTTTGGTAGCATACAGAGGACATCAACAACCTGTATGGGATGTAGAATGGAGTCCTTTAGGACTATACTTTGCTACCGTTAGTGCGGACAAAACAGCAAGATTATGGAGTACTGAACGTGTGAACCCGTTGCGAATGTATGCCGGACATTTGAGCGATGTAGACTGTCTCAACTTCCATCCGAACAGTTTGTACCTCGCTACAGGTTCATCGGATCGTTCGTGTAGATTATGGGACGTTCAACGCGGAGCATGTGTACGATTGTTTGTCGGTCATCAAAGTGCAATCTCATGTGTAAAAGTGAGTCCTGATGGTCGTTATCTTGCTTCGGCAGGTGCAGGTAATTCACCCACAACGGCAGCAGATGGAAATGATTGTTCGATCAGCATTTGGGATTTGGGCAGTGGAAAGAGAATCAAGAAGATGTGGGGACATACAGCTTCGATTTTGTCGATGGATTTCAGTGTTGATGGATCGATGCTCGTTAGTTCAAGTGCCGATTGTCAAGTTCGCTGCTGGGACGTTCGTGGAGCGGGCGGTGTACGCAAGCCGAATGCGTTTGGGGCTTCCATGAAAAGTGCAACGATGAATGATGGTCCTTTAAGTAGTAATGCGGCTGGAGGAGGACAAGATGCGATCGCACTTGCTGACGGTCAAATGCAAAATTCGTCCGAAGCGAACGAACAACAATCTAGTGCAGATTGTATAACCACAATGTTTACCAAACAAACTCCTATGTTGGATGTTCATTTCACTCCACGTAACCTTTGCTTAACTGCTGGTGCTTTTGATGCCAGCGTTTTTTGATGTCATTAGATTGACATTTTTACCTTGTAATTTGTATCAATATGCTCTTTTCCTGTAAAACACAATCAAAAAATAGTATCGTCATGATGCTTGTGAAGGGACGACGCGTTGACGGTTAAACTTTTAATTGCTTGACAGGTGCAGCACAATCAAGATAAGATTAACAGATTAAAGAGACACCGAGCTCCTATCTGAGAAACATCTACCTCTTTTCATCACCGTCACCATAGAGTCGAAGAGGTGCACTGCAACAGTGATACGATGACGAGCGTTGTAGGGCGGATACGCTCATCCTTGCCCTCATTATCGGTAGAGCTGGAGAATAAGGTGAGTGAATGCAGTCAAATGCAAAGAAGTATCAGGGTAAGGTGAACTGACCATACAATCCTCATCTTGATCCTGAAAGGGTTCCGTCGCTCGTGATCATTTGGCCGGAGAGAGGACTTTTTTGGCATGGTTGCGTACATCGTTGGCATTGGTCAGCTTAGGCGTTGCGATTGCGCAATTGTTCAAATTACCTGAATTGGTTGAGCCGAATTCGAATAAAGGAAGCGATGGACCTTCTCTGTTGCAGTATATTTTCGGCTATCCTGATCAATCTCAGCAATCAGCCACGTACCTCGTCCAAGACGAAGGAGAAGATATCTTCGATCCGCTAGCTATGAACAGGTTGGACAGTTTACGTTCATTGGGAAAACCTCTCGGTGGAACGTGTATTGCTCTTGGAGCACTATGTTTGATCATGGGTGCTTATCGATATTTCAAAGTTCAGAATACACTTATGAAAGGTTCTTTTCCTCCTTCAAAAATCGAAATTTCAATCATGGCTTTATTTACTGGTGCTTTGATCGTTGCTGCGTTTGGTATCATTGTAGGCGCTCAACTGAATCGGTAGGGCTCAAGTCTGATTATATACTTTATACATAATCTTGTCACTTTAATATATCTATTGCTACATCTCCCAAGATACCGTCTTTCTAGTGAAATATCCTCATCGCTATCAGCAAGCACCTTCTGCAGCATAGACTGTCATGCCTTTTTGTTCGCACGGACGCGCGGTGCTTAAAATTTAGGTTGAATTAAGAAGAAGTATTGGTCGAGATCTTCCTCACTCCGTTCACCAACAATACTCGGTCATTATGGCACCCAGACCATCGCAAGGTGGAACGATGGGGCCGACAAGCGATGCATCAGGTATGCGAATGCCAACACTCGCCAAAGCACCTCTGCCATTAGAACAACTAACTCAACTTCAACGACGGATGGCACACCTGTTAAACTCTGTAACCGAATTACAAGATCACGTAATGAATGCGCAAACGCTGGATGAATGGCCGTCACTATTGAGTAGACACCTGACAATCGTTTCACAAACTCATTCATTAAGTCAATTCATCTCTTTGGCAAATCCGAATAATTTGAACGCTCAATTGGCAAAACGTGATGAAATTTTAATGGAAGATGCGATGCAAAATAATAAATTCTCACAAGACGATGGTGATAGACAGGGAGATGGTGGAGTAGGGATAAGTGGCTCGAACGCAAGTCATGATGCCTTATATGGAGGCAAGCCTGGTGCCGAAAAAAGCAGTGAGGCAGAGGATGGACCTAGACTGCCCAAGCTGACATACAGTGAAGGAGAAAATAATCCGCTCAGGAAAGCAGCCCCACATCCCTTTTACCCTTTGGATGCCGAGAAAGCACAAACTGTCATCCCATCTTTATTGCTACCTAGAGGACTAGATGGAAAGGTGACAGAAGATGCGGACCGAAGATGGCAAGAATGGCTAAAGACGTATGCAGGCATTCAAGATCCTTTACCGAATAGTAAAGAGATGGTTTCGATTGATATGGAAACAAAACGAGCTTGGATAGAACAAATGCATAATCAAATACGAGAATTTGACACTTTTGCTTCCAAAGCCACACGTTCTTACATACATGCAAGAGAAGCTACAGATGAATTGGGTCAACGATATGATTGGAAGATGCGATTGGCGCCTGATGAAGATAGCGATCAGGAGGATGTTGAGGGAGAAGAAGAGGACATAAAGATGGACGAAGACACCAATGAAGCGGAGGATCGAAAGCGTAAGCGGGAAGATGAAGATGTGCAGAGCGGTAAAGAGGTCTCTCTAAAAAGCGTTCAGCAATTCCTCAAATCCGGACAAGTTTAACACATTGTATACATAATCACATAATCATTTCTGTATTTGTACGAAATTTTATACACTATGCAAATCTATACCAGCATACACTCTTCTCAATAGAAAGGTCGACGGCCAAACACATGACGAAGTTTTTCCGGATCGATTTTATGTTGACGTTCCTTTGTAAGGATTCCGTTCGTTTCTTGTTCGGTATCCGTAGTTTGCGTATAACAAAAGCCTTGACAAATACCTCCATCGATGATAGCATCAACAACTCCTTTGATACGCTCAAGCAATTCATCTTCATTTCCTGCTTTATGATAACCCCAAGAATCTTTTCGATCTCCATCTGCTCCTTCTAATGAAATACCTCCCATTTCTGTGCACAAGATTGGCTTTCCATCGTATGCCGGTTCGCCTGGCAAGATGATATCTTTGCCAGACTTTGGCATGAGGATCAAATTTACATTGGCGGCCGTGTTGCGTAAGATGTTTGCATCGATATAATCATGGAATCCCACCATATCGCTCGTACCTTGTTCCCAGCCATCATTAGAAATGATCAATCTAGTCGGATCAAGAGTCTTGGTTAGATAATACATTGCCGTCAGATAATTTCTTTGTCTTTGCGATTGCGGTAAATTTGGCACACCCCATGATTCGTTGAAAGGTGTCCAAGAGATGATGGAAGGGTGATTGATCTGTTGCATGACTGCTTCAGTCCATTCGGCCTGGAATCGCAAAATGGCTTCTTGTGAGAATGCATATGGGCTTGCCATTTCACCCCAAACCAGATAACCCAATTTATCTGCCCAATACAAGAATCGTGGATCTTCAACCTTTTGATGCTTTCTACAACCGTTCATGCCCACCGCTTTCATGCCTTCGATGTCATTCTTAAAAGCTTCATCAGTTGGCGCTGTTAATCCTGATCCTGGCCAGTATCCTTGATCGAGATTCAAAGCCTGGAAGAGACGAACGTTATTCAAACAAATCTTCCCGTCTGTGATATGGATCTTACGCATGCCCGTGTATGTTTGAACGATATCCAGCACTTGACCTTCAGAAGTGATCAAAGATAGCTGAATGTCGTACAGCGTTGGATGATCAGGGCTCCAAAGCGCAAGACCTTCTTGCCATTGTTCCTTCTTGATCACCTCTGCTAGTGAAGCTGGGCGTTCGATCCCATCAAACAAGACTCCAACTGTCACCGCAGCTGATGCAGTTTGATTGGAGATCAGGCTGCGACTTGATCCGATGAAAACGCCAGACAGTGTCACAGTTGCTTCCAAAAATGCACCGGCCGTATGTGCATCACGCCCGCTTGTTCCTACATTTGCCAAATCTGCTGCAATGTGAATCGTGCCACGATCGATATCTGTCGTGATCACTGCTTTGTCAATATGAGATCTTCCCACATGCTCAAGCCAAACAGGTTGCCAGATACCAGAAGTAGGATAATACCATATACTTTCGATGTCCGATTTCCAATATTGTTTTCCACGTGGCTGTGTTACATCGTGTGGGGCATCACGAACACGAACAACGATTGGAATTTGTTGAGCTTCCTTCAATGCGAAATGTCTCAGCTGTGGAGTGATATCACAACTAAAGCCAACATGACCACCTTGGTGTTGTTTAACTTGAACGCCTCCAACCCAAACGGTGCATTGATAATCCACTGCGCCAAAGTGTAAAATGATACGATCCATTTCATCATTTTCGATATTTGCCGGTTTGCTGATGGTACGTGCATACCAGATCACTTCATGATCGTTCTTATCATTGATTCCAGATGCTTCTGTTTGATGTGCAAATGGAACAATGATCGTCTTTTCAAACGGTCCTTTCCCTTCCCCGTTCCACTGCCACCAACCATGATCTTGACCAATATCATGATCATCAAATGCGAAATCCCATTCACCATTCAAGGTTTCCCAATGTGTTTTTGGTCTAAACCAATCTGGTCTTGGATGTTCAGGTCTTGGGATATTTGCCATTTTTGCAATTGACCTTTTGGTTGTAGGGAGGAGAGGAAGAACCAAGCGGCCTCTATTTTTATTTTTAGGGTGCGGGGAATTTGTAGAAATGGCCCCTGCGTGCGTGCATGACAGCTGTTAGACAAAACGCCGGCGTTAAATACTTCATTGCTTGGGAAAGGTGCGGGAGGCAGGCAATGTAATCCGCACGAATAACCGACTTGAATCTATTCATATGAAATGGAATAAATAATGCCCGCTACCAGGCACAATCATTATTTGCTGAGCAGATGCATACTCAAGGTTAACGAGTACTGAATGAGATAACACATGGAACAAAAATGAAAAGTCTTGCTTTGCTTAATCGCCTAAAATGATGCAGCAGTGATTATAATGTACACTCCATGGAGAAAAGACGCGTTGACTAGGAAGGCTTATTCGGTTCTGTGTGGCTGTGATAAACTGTTCTTTTTGTTGGTCGTTATTCCGATGTAAATCTAGTCATTCGAGTCAAGCTATAGAGAGATAGCTCGTTAGAACTTCTCCACGGCGTTCAAATCTTTAGATATATGTATAATGTCTCTCAGCTATAAATGTGTGCAGCCGAGTAAAAATACTTCTATCAATGTGTTCACCGCGGAGTACGAATGCAGAAGCAGAGAAATAAAGGTGCTTTTCCATTCTTTACGCGTGCATAATATCCTTAACGGAGCCTAAGGGTGTAAATCCGCACTTTGAATGAATGCATAAGATAAAGGGCATTTTAGGAGCAATAATGCATAATCACTTACTTTCTTTTCTTTTGCCATCGATGACGGGATTTCAAACTGACTCTGAAGTTATATAATGGATATGTTCATCTCAATCAACCTCAATCAATCAATATAACATTCATCACAAAGAAAGGAGCGTGCAAGTCATTTACCAAGCAGCAAAGGCTGCCTACTCTTTCCACCCCGCCTAAACGCACATCTAAACAAATCCGACGATCATGTCAGATAATCGTGGTAATCAAGATGAATTGCATCTTCATGTGCAAAACTCAAATACGCCCTCAGATAGTCAAAAGAGTGAATTGGTAAACGAAAATCAACAATCAATCTATAAACCAAATGATGAAAAATCAATCGTTGCTTCGGCCAATACAGTTGGAATCACTCCAAACGAAAAGATTGAAGAACAAGATGGAAGTAATAGTATCGCTGTTGATATGTCAGACGGTGAAGGAAGTATGGACGAAGATGAAATGATCTTGGCAAAAGCAAGATTCGTGGATTTGTTCAGATTTGCGACTAAATGGGATATCTTTTGGAACTTGTGTGGTGTGGTGGCAGCAGGTGCAGCAGGGGCCGCTCAACCGATTATGACAATCATCTTTGGTAATCTGACAACGACGTTTTTGACATACACAAACACACTTTCCGATAAAAACGCCACTCCCGAATCTTTGGCAGCAGCAAGGGCGTCACTTAAACATTACATCAGTCAAGATGCACTCTATCTTGTCTATACCGGTATTGCTATGTTTGGTGCTACGTACATCTATATGGCAACATGGATCTATACAGGAGAAGAAATTACCAGAAGAACGCGAGAGACATATCTTGCCTCCATCTTACGTCAAGAGATTGCTTATTTCGACACAATCGGAGCAGGAGAAGTAACTTCACGCATTCAAAATGACATTCATCTTATTCAAGAAGGTATTTCGGACAAATTTCCAATGAGCGTCATGTTTGTTGCCACGTTTATTGCCGGTTTTGTTGTAGCTTATGCTCGTTCTTGGCAATTATCCCTTGCGATGAGTTCAGTCTTGCCATGCATCATTGGTGCAGGTGCATTGATGAACGTGTTTGTCACCAAGTATCAACAGATCGAATTGCAGTATATCGCCCAGGCTGCCTCTGTCGCAGAAGAAGCTTTGAGTACCGTCCGAACCGCCAAAGCGTTTGCCATTGAACAAAGGTTGGTTGACTTGTACGATGAAAGCAACGTAGAAACGACAAAGCAAGGAAAGCGGAAAGCCATCGTTCAAGGTGTAGGTTTCGGAATATTCTTCTTTGTCATTTATGCTTCGTATGGATTGGCTTTCTACTTTGGATCGAAACTGCTAGCAAGTGGTCGCTTGGACAGTGGAACAGTGATGAACGTGATCTTTTCAATCTTTATTGGTGCATTTTCATTGGCAATGTTGGCGCCTAATCTTACAGCTTTGTCTTATGCCACTTCTGCTGCTGCAAAGATTTACGAAACGATCGATCGTCAATCGCAAATTGATTCTGCCAATCCGACAGGTTTGAAGCCGGAAAAGTGTATTGGGGAAATTGAATTACAAAATGTCTTTTTCCGTTATCCTGCCAGACGTGAGGTGCCGATTATGGAAGATTTTTCACTTCGTGTTCCGGCTGGCAAGTCGACTGCTTTGGTGGGCGCAAGTGGAAGTGGTAAATCTACCATTGTTGCCTTGTTGGAGCGATTCTATGATCCTGATGAAGGTCGTGTTCTGCTGGATGGCGTTGATACGAAAGAGATCAATTTGATCTGGTTACGTACTCAGATGGGATATGTGGCTCAAGAGCCGGTCTTATTCTCTACAACCATCCGCAAGAATATCGAATATGGTCTTATCAATACCCCTTACGAACATCTCTCGACCGAAGAAAAGGACAAGATGGTTCAATACGCTGCCGAACAGGCAAATGCACATGGTTTCATTACCCAATTGCCAAACGGATACGATACACTTGTAGGAGAACGCGGATTCTTACTCAGTGGAGGACAAAAGCAAAGAATTGCAATAGCTCGTGCTATTGTGAAGAAGCCAGTGATTTTGTTGTTAGATGAAGCCACTTCTGCTTTGGACACACAAAGTGAAGGTATCGTACAAGAAGCTTTGGATCGTGCAGCGAAGGGAAGAACGACGATTGTGATCGCGCATCGATTATCTACAATCCGTAAAAGTGACAATATTGTCGTGATGGGTAAAGGTGTTATCTTGGACGAAGGTACGCATGATTCACTTTTGGCTAAACAGGAAGGTGCTTATTTCGGTTTGGTAAATGCGCAAAAGATTCGAGCAGGTGATTCGACAAACAATACATACGATCGCGAAGAAGATATCCGCAAAGCCAAAGAAAAAGAAGAACGTGAGGCCGAAAAGTTGAGAGCAGAAGCCAAAGCGGAAATGCCAGAAGGTCTTGTGAGACGCCTTACAAGTCGTAGCGTTCTGAGCGGAATGAAAGAAGAAAAGCCAAAAAAGAAGAAGGAAAAGCGAAGAAGTTTGTTTTACTTACTTTATCGTTTGGCTTTGATCAATAAGGATTATATTTGGACATTGTATGTTCCTGGTATTATCGGTTCGATCGCTTCAGGTGCTGTTTATCCCTGCTTTTCGATTTTGTTCGGTAAATCTCTGCAAGATTACTCGCTTTGTAGCACTCATGAGGGCGGGTTCAACGGAAGCAGGATGGAATGTCCCGAGCCGAATCGGTCTATCATGCGACACAACAGTGACCAGAATGCTCTTTGGTTCTTTGTTATTTCGATTCTTGCAGTGTTTGCAATCGCCATCCAGAACGGATTTATGATCTTGGCTTCAAGTATTCTGATGGAACGATTGAGACGCATGACCCTCAAAGCGATGCTTCGTGCTGATGTGAGCTTTTTTGACGAGGAAGAGAATAGTAGTGGAACCTTAACTTCTGCCCTTGCGGAGAACAGTCAAAGGATTAACGGCTTGGTCGGTGTTACATTGGGAACTATCATTCAAAGTGTTAGTACGCTGATTATTGGTTGGGTGATTGCTCTGGCATACGGATGGAAGCTCGCTTTACCAATGATAGCCACAAGTCCTCTCACTCTTTCAGCGGGATTCATTCGATTGCAAATTGTCGTTCTGAAGGACAAGAAAGTCAAAAGAGCCCATGAGAATGCTGCTCAACGAGCATGTGAAGCAGCGGCTGCAATTCGAACGGTTGCTTCACTCACACGTGAAAAGCATACTGTAGATTTATACAAAGAGGAATTGAAAGAGCCAGGAAGGATTACCCATCGAACTGCATTTTACGGAAATATTCTTTATTCGATCAGTCAAGCACTCGCACTTCCAACGATCGCCTTGGGTTTCTGGTACGGTAGTAGATTGTTGATCAATGGGGAAATTAGTAGTGGACACTTCTTTACCGTTTTAACTGCGACCGTGTTTGCAAGTATTCAAGCAGGTAATGCGTTCAGCTTTGTTCCTGATGTCAGTCAAGCTCATGGTGCAGCTGAAGAATCTTTCCGCTTGATTGATAGCGTACCAGAGATTGATTCGGAGAGTGACAAGGGAATCATCTTGGAAGAATGTGAAGGTAATGTGACATTTGAAGATGTTCACTTCCGCTATCCAACCCGACCTGCAGTTCCAGTTCTGCGCGGAATTGACTTGGAGGTAAAAGCTGGAACGTATTGCGCTTTGGTAGGGGGTTCTGGATGCGGTAAATCAACAACGATTCAATTGATTGAACGATTTTACGATCCACAAGCAGGAAAGGTTCTGATTGATGGACATGATATTAAAACGATCAATGTACGATCTTTACGCAGATATATTGCACTCGTTTCTCAAGAACCAACTTTGTACGAAGGTACGATCGGATGGAATATCGCATTAGGTGCAGCCGGATGGGGAATCGGTGATGTGGAAGATAACACATACGAAGGTGATGCGATTGAAAAAGTTACTGAACAACAAATGCGAAAAGCTGCAAGACAGGCAAACATTTTACGATTTATTGATAGTCTACCGGACGGATTTGATACGCTTGTTGGAAGTCGTGGAACTGCATTGAGTGGTGGACAAAAACAAAGAATAGCGATCGCAAGAGCATTGATCAGAGAACCAAAGATTTTGTTGTTGGACGAAGCAACTTCTGCTTTAGACAGTGAAAGTGAACAAGTCGTTCAAGAAGCATTGGATAAAGCAAGTAGAGGTAGAACGACGATTGCAATTGCCCATCGATTATCGACCATCAGTAGAGCGGATCGAATTTTCTGTTTGAAAGATGGAAAAGTGAGCGAACAAGGTGATCATTCTACCTTGATGGAGCAAAATGGAGTGTATGCCCATTTAGTCAGTTTACAAGAACTTCAAGCCGATTAGAAAAACTTTTGCTTAAATCGTGCACATTCATGGATCTTCTATGTACATATAAACATGCTTCTGCTTTTAATTATTATTTTCGTCAGCTTTGCTTTGGTTATTTTGTTCTTTTTTCCTATAGTAAAATTGCATACGTCTTTTTCGAATTGTGACCCTATTGCGTTCGCGATATTGACTTTCCTTTTCACGAGCACGTTCTAGATTTTCGCTTCGCAACTTGTTCCTTTTTTCGTTATTACGTTGTCGATTCTTTTCACGCCATTGAGCGTGGTGATCTCGAATTTCTTCTAAATGGTTTTCTTCGTATTTCTTTTTCCTCTTTTTCATATTTTCAAAGTAACGCATATCCTGTTCAGTCAGCGTTCCTGCCAATTTACGCTCTCGAATTCTGTCTCTATATCTTTTTGATGCTAATCGTTCCACTTCTCTTTGTTTTTCACTTTTTCCGCTTATAATTATCTTTGGTTTTCGTTTCCATCGTTTTGGCTCTTTGCTTGGATTACTTTGATAGTGGTTTGCCGTTTGAGAGTTCCCATGGATTGCACTTTCAGCGTTCGTGCTACCTATTTGATTACCCGTTATATGCTCAGGATAAGAATGTGAGTCACCATTTTGCTGTCCAAGGCTAAGTAACAAAGTATCATGCCCAGGGCTGCTTGCCGGAGAAGGCGTCTCGTTCAGATCAAAGCTCCTTGTTCGCTTCATCTGTCCATGAACATGCATCGATTGCATCAACGCAAAATACAGGATCAAATACTTCACTATAGCATGACAGGACATCATTTGAATATACGAGGTGAAATGAAGATGTTCAAAATTTAAAATGCTTATAAGCAGATGCAAATCAATAAAAATTTGCGTACGTAGATCGAGTAGCATATGAAAGAGTCAAAAATGAACAGCCCTCGAGTGATAAGCTGTGCAGTTGTATCAGATTACTAACCAGCATCATCGTCTTGCTTCTCAGACAGAGCTTTCTTCTTCAGTCTTTCTTTCTCTCTGTACTTCATACGATACTCGTTTACTTTTTCGGGATGTTGTTCTTTCCATTGTCTTACTCTGTCTTTATTGTATCCACTATTCTTTTGACGCCATTTAAGAGCATATTCTTGTATCTCCTTCTTCTTCCTTACCCTATAAGCTTTGTCTTTCTTTCTCTTCGTTTCCAGATGCCGTATATCGCTTTGCAGCAATGTACCGGCTAATTGTCTTTCACGAAGCTGCTGTCTACGCTTCTTTTGTCTTTCAGTATCTGCCCTTCTATCCCTTTTTGCATTTGATATCTGTTTACGTTTCCGTCGTCTTTCTGCTGGATCATTTGGATCTACTTGATCTAACTGAATAGTTTGACCAGAATTTATATCACTTGGTCTGTTCGGGTGGCCTTGATTGGATTGCACTTCAGCATTCTGCTGGCTAGGGCTTAAGGCCACAACATCTTCAGGCTCGAGTGAAGGTGTCCTATTTAGGTCAATGTACAATCTCTTTTGTCCTTTTCCTCGACTGTACGAAGCGAAGCATAACAAATAGCACAGAGATACTATCGCCACCTTTTTTGTACAACGAAATCTAATCGAAATCTTCATCAGAGAAGGCTAGATTAGCTGCGATGCATTACAATGGTGAAGAAATACATCTATCATTATATTTAATAGATACACTGCATTGCATTTCATCGCATCATCGGGTCAAAATCGAAGCTGTGTCCTTAGGTAGGACAATACACAATCAATGTGTATACTTGCTCAATACGTGCTCGCATGGGAAAGAACAACAAACAAGATAAATTAAGACTGCATCAATCGTTCTTAGCGGCAATTCTATTTTGCTCTGCCAAAATTTGCTTCCTCTTGAGTCTAGACTTTAAAAGACTGGCTTTGACTTTCTCCGGGTTGTTTGCACGATAACGTTTATCCAATTCTCTTGCTTTTTGCGGATTTTCTTTTCTCCATTTCCTGTTTCTAGCTGCACATTCAGCTCGGTGGTTTTTTTGATAATCTGAATAGTATTTTGTCAGATATTCTTTATTGTCTTGATCGTATCTCTTTTTTGCTGTTTTTTGTAGCTCAATTGATCTTTTATCTTTTTCAGTCAGTGTACCTGCTAACTTACGTTCAAGAAGACCTTGTCGCCTTCTTCTAGACCTTTCACGAGAATAGGCTCGTTTACGTTCGTTTTCCTCATTAAGATCCACTTCTGCTTTGCGTTTCCGCTTCGTCTTCTTTCTAACTACTTCCGCTTTGTTTAATGTATCGGTAGTCATACCTGTTTTGTCGATCGGATACTGCGAATGCACGGTTTCTCCCTCTAAAACATCTTCGGGAGGTGGTGTTTTGTTTAAGTCAAAATCTTTTGGCTCTTTCGTCTGACCGAGAACTTGAATCGTTTCAAATGAAAGGCTTAACGATATAACAGTCAACATGAGAATATAGAATCGCATCATTTGACTGTATGATATGGTACATCAAAGAGAAACAATGTAAAAGTTTCAACTCGCTTTAGTCACCGTAAAGTGGGATACATTCAGCCCCTTCCATATAGTCTTTGTTTTCATTTATCTTACCAGCATACGCAATGGAAGATAGGGAAAATGAGGCTATGCTACTAGAAGTAGAAAAAAAAAACTTCACTAGACTTACAACCTCTTCGCACCATTTGCTGTGATGCACTACAATAGTAAAAGACTTTGAACTTTTGTCATCGTACTGCACTAAATAGATTGATACACTGTACTGCATTGGGCATGTCTTAAGCGGCGTCCTCACGTACAGAAAAACATAAATACTTTGTACGTATATCTGTATAGCCCTTCTTCGCATAGAGAAGGTGGCTACCAAATGTACTACTAGAGCGTCAACTGTTTTTTGGACAGAATTGTCTTGCTTTACCACGCTTTTATTCTTCGGATTGGCTTGAGTCTTCTATTGCTTTCCATCTTGATTAGATTTACATGCTTCTCTTGCTTTTTTTGAATTTGCACTTCTCCATCTTCTAAGTTTGGCAGCGCATTCTTTCAAATGGCTACGACGATAATCCGAATAATATCTTGCAATGTATTCTTTGTTCTTTTGATTGTATTTCTTTTTTGTTGATTTTTCTAGCTCGATTGATCTTTTATCTTCTTCAGTCAACGTACCTGCTAACCTACGTTCTCGAATACCTTGCCGACGTTCTCTAGACTTCTCACGAGCATAGGCTCGCTTACGTTCGACTTTCTCATTAGGATCCACTTCTGCCTTACGCTTTCGCTTTTTTCTTTTTTGATTTACTTCAGCTTCTTTTCCTGTATTGGCTGTCGTACTTGTGTTCTCAATCGAAGGTAATGAACGTATGACTTCTTCCTCTAAGCCATCTTCGGGAGGAGGTGTTTTATTTAAGTCAAGGTCTTTTGACTTTTTGGTCTGACTGAGAACTTGATTCGTTTCAAACAAGAGGCACAACAAAAGAACAGTCCTTGCTAGAATGTAAGATTGCATCATTTGATTATGTAGGATTTATTAGGAAGACATACTGCAATCATCTCATTTCATTTTGATAGATTTCATACACAGCCATGAATTGGTATACTCAGCCCCTTTCGGACTTTCAACCTTTATCTAAGCATTTTTTAGCAAGATATAACAGGTATGTCAGTTGCACCTCTATCACCACCGCTTGTTTGCTCATCAAAATTACATTGAGTCTCATATCAATGACAGGTATATTGGCAGAAATGATTTACAGTGGTCTTTTCATACTTTCGCCATCACACGCATTGATGCACTGCATTACAGTTCATTGCATTGAATCGGGTCTGATGCTGCCTTCTTGGCCACTAAACAAGTATTTTTCACTTGTGTACAATATATACGCATACGATGTTTTTAGAGTGAACTTTGCTTTTCGGTAGATCTATCGTTCGTCTCGACATTTTGCTGTTTAAGTCTTAAACGTGCTTTATCGATTTTGATCTTCTCCGCATTGTTTTCCCGATATCGTCTATCCGATTGTCTTGCTTTTTCCAAATTTTCACTTCTCCATTTCCTGCTTCTGGCTGCAAATTCAGCTAAGTGATTTTTTCGATAATCCTTATGACGTTGTGACAAAGTTTCTTTATGATCTCGATAGTAGTTTTGATAGTGTGACCTCATTGAATCGAGTGTTTTAAGATCACTTTCAGTCAAAGTACCAGCCAACTTGCGTTCTCGAAGACCTTGCCGCCTTTTTTTCGACTTTTCACGATTATAGGCTCTTTTACGTTCGGCTTTCTCATTAGGTTCCACTTTTGCCTTACGTTTTCGATTTTTCTTGTCTTGATTCACCTCTGCTTCATTTACTTTATCGGTAATCATACTAGTGTTATCGATCGGATATTGCGAATGTACGATTTCACCCTCTGGACCATCTTCAGGAGGAGGCGTTTTATTCAAGTCAAAATTCTTTGGCTCTTTTGTTTGACCAAGAACTTGATTTCTGGTTATGAAAAGAAGGCACAAAAATAGAAGAGTCAGTATTAGAATGTAAGATCGCATCATTTGACTATTTTGAAAGAACGAACCATAAAGAAACCCTACTGCAATTATCTCTTTTGAATTTGAAAGATTTATTTAAACAGCTATTTATACACAAGTATGAATATTCAGCCCCTTTCGGACTTTTGTCTTTTACCTGAGCAATATGTAGTAAACATAATAATATTGTCAGATTCACCTCTATGGCCATCGTTTGTTTGCTCATCAAAATTGTATTGAGTCTCATATCAATGACTCATAGATTGTCCGAAATCCTTTACGGTGAAACTTGGCCAATGAACAAGTGTTGTTCACTTGTGCACAGTGTGTATGCTTACGATGTATTTGGAGTCAAGTGTGCTTTTCGGCAGATCTATCGTGAATTACGACTTTTTGCTTCTTCTTCTTCTCTCGCCTCCGTCTATCCGTTTGCCTTGCTTTTTCCAAGTTCTCTTGTCTCCATTTCCTACTTCTAGCCGCATATTCACTTAAATGGTTTAAGTGATACTCCCTAAAGTATTTCGCTAAAGATTGTTTATTATTTTGACGGTATCTACGTTTTCTTGCTTTTGTTAGTTCGAGTGATCTCAAATCGACTTCAGTTAGTGTACCGGCCAACTTACGCTCACGAATACCTTTTCGCCTTTCTCTCGCCTTTTCACGTTTATAGACTTTCTTACGCTCGGCTTCTTCTGTAGGATCTGTTGCTAGCTGCTTTCTTTTCTTTCTACTTTTATTGACGTCCGCTTCTTTTGGTGCTGGAATGTAGCTTTCCGTGTTTATGTTCTCTATTGTATAGTGTGATTTTGTACCTTCATTCTCAGAACCATCTTCGGGGGGAGGTGTTTTGTTTAAGTCAAAGTCTTTTGGCTCTTTCGTCTGACCGAGAACTTGAATCGTTTCAAGCAAAAAGCACAACAAAAGAACAGTCCTTACTAGGATGTAAGATTGCATGATTTGACAATGTAGTATCTATCAGGAAACCACACTGTAATCATCTCACTTCGTTTTCATGGACTTTATACACAGCCATGAATCAAGATATTCAGCCCCTTTCGGACTTTTGTCCTGAGAGCAAACGGAAGCGTTTGGAGGAGTGTGTCTAGCTCGAGCTCATCTTGCACTTGCAACGTCACCAAGTCGGACAGGATGAACGCTTCTTTGATCAAGTGTATTTGATACATCATCCAAAGAGGTCTGCTCTCAAGACCGATGCCTCTTCGACTGCCAGTGATCGCTTGCAAGATCCCCGTGAACGCGAGTGCAGAGTCATCCTCGAATGAAGAAAATTCTGGCCGACTTAATCGACCTCATTTCAACCCAACAAATGACGATGGACTTGCTCGGCAGTGTTGAAAGGATGTCACTGGGAGAAGCAGTCGAATAGTGTGAAGTGGGAGCATGATAAGAGGGAGAAGAAAGACAAATGTCGATGTCAAGTGTACCATTTCTCCGCTGACTCTTGATCAATTCTGTGTGGCATCTTGTGTTAGGTCTTGCCCTTCCTCCCCACCTTCTGCCTTTCCTCCCTAACTTCTGCCCTTCCTCCTTACCTTCTACCCTTCCTCCTTCCGCCCTTCCGCCCTTCCGCCCTTCCGCCCTTCCACCTTCCGCTCTTCCTCCTTCTACCCTTCCTCCTTCTACCCTTCCTCCTTCTACCCTTCCTCCTTCTACCCTTCCTCCTTCTACCCTTCCTCCTTCTACCCTTCCTCCTTCT